CCGGAACACTGTGTCCTCAGCAGCCTGATCCCTGGTCCAAAAGCACTGATCGCTTCTCCCAGGAGTGGGAGCAACCTTGTAAGGAGTCCCACCTTCCCCCCTCGGAGCACGGCTTCTCCCTCCGCAGCTGCCAACACTCCTAATGTCACTGTGCGCGGGAGGCCCCCAAGACAGATCCAGCAGGAGCAAATTAATAATTGCTGGCAACCAGTTCCTGCAGCAACCAGCTCCTCCCCCTTGGGGACTGTCTGCCCTTCTTCAGAGAGTCCTCCACGACTGCAAACTTACTTCTGTGTGAACAAAGAGCTTGGAAGTATTTATTCCTAAGAGGCCCCTCGTTTTAGAAAAGCCCCGGGCTGGGTGTCAGGACACTGGCACTCTTGGCTGGCTCAGCCACAGCTGGGAGTTTAACCTTGAGCAGGTCAGAATCTCTGTGCATCTTGTTTCCTTATCTGTAAATTTTAGGTCTAGCAATCCAAGTGTATGAACCATGACCCTGCCCGATCTCCGGCCCCTGTCACTGTCACTTAAACTTTTTTTTTTTAATTTCACTAGATTTGGGAGGTACAAATAGAGTTTCATTACATGGATCTATCGTATACAGGTGAAGTCTGGGCTTTTAGTATACCCATCACTCGAATAGTATACATTGTAACTAATAGACCATTTTTCAGCCCGCACCCTCCTCCCATCCTCCCCCATTCTGAGTCTCCAATGTCCATTATATCACTCTGAGTGACCTTGAGTAGCCACAGCTTAGCTCCCATTTGTAAGTGAGAACATGTGGTATTTGTTTTCCCTTCCTGAGTTACTTCACTTAAGATAATGGTTCCACCCAAGTTGCTGCAGAAGACATGACTTCATTCTTTCTTGTGGCTGGGTAGTATTCCATGGCATATGTATACCACATTTTCTTTAATCATCTGTTGATGGGCAGTGGTTTGATTCCGTATCTTTGCAATTGTGAATTGTGCTGCAATAAACGTACAAGTGCAGGTCAGTTTTTGATATAATGATCTCTTTCCCTTGGGTAGATTGGGAATGTAACCTGGTACAACCTCTGTGGAAATCAGTACAGAGATTTCTCAAAGAACTGAAATTTAAACTTGAGCCTTCCTTCTGCACCAAGAATCGGGTGGCCAGGTCATCATTCCTGGGCCCCCTTACTCTGCTGGACAACTTCCTCACTGTCCATCTGATGGGGCCAGGTGGGCCAACCAACAAACAGCCCCATCTCGGGTTTTTTCCTTCCCCTTCTCATTCGTCTCAATCCACAGGGCGTTGGTGTCTACACTCCACCTGCTCACTTCTCTTTGAGGCATGTTTGGGGCTCACGCCAAGCCCCTGCCCCCTCCAGGGCCTTAAGCAAGAAAAAGATTATGGTGCCCACTCATCTTGTTCTATAAATAACCCAAAATAAATTTGCATTTTTGGAAAGTAGACAAAACATATGGCAAAATTCTAATTTTTGTTCACATTCCCAACCGCATTTCAAAAAGTTCATCAAGGCTGCATTTTTCTCCTTGCACCTCCCTGAGCCTTCCCCTAGGGTGGGGTCCCATAACTTCAGCCCCTCAGCACAGCTGCCCAGACCAGGTGTGGACACCTGACCGGGCCGAGCCAATCAGTCTTAAGAGAAGAAGGAGCCTGAATCAAGAGAGAGAAAAGCTATAGCCCAACAGAGTTAGGTGCTGGAGCCATAAAGCTGGGGTCCAGGTCCTCCCAGAGGTGAGGACAGCCGAGGGTGAGCGTGCAGAGGAGGCCAGTCTGAAAAGGAGAAGAGAGCCCATGTGCAGACTAGAGACCAGGTGGCCACAGAGAGCAAGAGAGCAGCCATCACCGCGGGCAACACCTGCTTCCCGGGCGGGAGACTCAGCCGCAGCTCCAGCCACAGAATGCCATGAGATTCCCATGAATGCTGACACTCACTACCCCTTTCCCGAACCTTGTTACCCAAAGTGTGGTCTGTGGACCAGCAGTCTGGCAACTGTTCAGAAATGCAGAGCCTCAGCCGGGCGCGGTGGCTCACGCCTGTATTCCTAGCACTCTGGGAGGCCGAAGCAGGCGGATTGCTCCAGGTCAGGAGTTAGAAACCAGCCTGAGCAAGAGCAAGACCCCACCTCTACTATAAATAGAAAGAAATTAATTGGCCAACTAATATATATAGAAAAAATTAGCCAGGCTTGGTGGCACATGCCTGTAGTCCCAGCCACTGGGGAGGCTGAGGCAGCAGGATTGCTTGAGCCCAGGAGTTTGAGGTTGCTGTGAGCTAGGCTGATGCCACGGCACTCACTCTAGCCTGGGCAACAAAGCGAGACTCTGTCTCAAAAAAAAAAAAAAAAAAAAAAATGCAGAGCCTCTGGCCCTATGTACAGCTACGGTATCCGGATCTGCATTTTAAAGAGATCTCAGGGTGATGTGCACATAAGGGCTGCTTTGGAGGCAGCTTCTCTTGCTGTTAAGACAGAAATATTAATAAGGAGAATACACATCATATAAGTTCATCAGAAAGAATGCGTGAATTAAAACACATGAAGTAGTTACAGTGGTACATGGGACACAACAAACCTTCAGTAAAAACATTAATATTATGATTATTAACACAATCATTATCCATATTTCTAACCTTTTACTGCAAGATCTTCCCTCCTTGCTCTCTTTGCCCAGACACCTTGGCCTTCTTTCCTGTCCTTGACCACACTATGCCCCCACCTGCCACAGGGCCTTAGCACATACTTAGCATGTACCGGTCATACCTTCCACCTCTTTGTCAAGTTACCCCTAACTCAGCTTGCAGATTTTAGCTGGGTGTAACCTCTTTAGAGAAGCCTTCCCTGATCTTCTAGTTTGGGATTAGACTACTAGTCATAACAACATGTTCCGTCTGTTGCATTTACCATTGTTGTAATTATTACTTGCATTTAAGTGATCATTTTATTAACATATGCCTCTTTGACTCAGCTGAAAGCTTTGTGAGCACAGAGCTCATGTCTGCTTTCCTTGCCATTTATACCCAATGCGTAGCACAGCAGCCCTCAAACCTCAAGGAATACTTGCTGAACACATAAATGAACACTCTCTCCATCCAGCTCACTACCCCTGGTAAGTAGCCCCATCTCCAAGTCCCCCTCAGGCCCATGGTAATGAAATTGCCACTTAGATGAGCAAGAAGAACCACTCAGGTGACGTTTTTGTGAGCAACCCTGCTCTGTTCCAAGCAATAGGGAGACAAATGTTCTCTGTTCTGTTCTTCTTGTCTGGGCAACCCATTCCAGAGGCACTAAAATCATCTATCATGCTGTTTATCACAACATATCCAGATGCTCTGAGCAATAAAGTCACTCACAATACACAGGCATCCCATTTCGGGAAGATGCTCCCAATCAAGCCTTCCCAGGGGATGTTTCAGAAGAGGAGAGACCCCCATCTGTCTGAGAAGGGGACCTGCTGTCTGCAGTGCTCCCTTCTAGCCTGGTGGCATATGTCGTGGGACCCGCCTTAGGGGCCTGCAGGTAGCAGACCCTGAAGTGCAGCCTTGTCCAATCAGGCTGACAGCAAGTCCTGCATTTGTCCAGGGTGTTAGAAAATGCCAACCTCAGGCTGATTCTCTAGGAGAGCCTCCTGTTCAAAACAAAGAGGGTTTCCCCCTCCCCCCGCTCCTGCCCACCCACCCGCAGTCAAATAAAATCAAACTTTGCAAAAAGAGGTTTCTGCTGAGAACAAAATCAAGATCCAAAAAGAAAAGATGCTTCAGCCTCCTGAATCAATGAGGCAAGCCTAACAAGATGAAGTTTAATAGGAATTAGTTTAAGGTTTTCCACTTGGGTCCAGAAAGCCAGCCGAAAGCAGTGCAGGGGGCGGGGGGTTAAGCTGAGCCTTGGCAGCAGCCAGTGTGACCGAGATGTAGAGGTTTTCGTTGACTCTCTGCTCAGTAGGAGTCATCACTGTGACACAGCTGCCAAAAAGGGCTCAGCAGCATTAATGGAAAGACAGGACCCAGGAAGATGGAAATGACTGTCCTGCTCCCTCCACACTGGCCCCAGCACACCCAGGATATTGCTTTCCATTCAGCATGGAGCATAATTCTAACAGACTACAGCCAAGCTGAACTACGAGAATAAGAACAGGCAATTTCCTGGAAGATTCACGCACCAGGTCACAGTGCAAGGGTCACGGCACGAAGGCCACTTGGCCCAGAGAGCTGATGCTGCACAAGAAACAGGCTAACAGCATTCAGAAATTTTTGACAGATGGGGAAGAAACTGGGCATTCTTGTGCCACCCCATGTCCCACCCCATGCGAGTCCCTTAAGACTAGAGGGGAAAATAGAGAGTGAAGTAGATTCGAGCTCAGTGTAAAGAACATCCATGTTAGTGGTGTTTTTTCTTTGATTTTTCAAATGATACGACTAATACGTGCACACTGTAAAAGGAAACTTGGAGCAACGCAGACACACACAGAATAAAAAGTCACAGTTCCCCATTTAACATGCCCACTTATCCATACTTCACTCTCCCTCCTCTAAGGAGCCACATATACCCTAAGTTTAGGGTATATCCTTTTAAGCCTTTTTGAAATGCATTTATTCACACACACACATATACACACCACACAGCTTGGGTTTAGGGATTTTTCTCCCATCAACGAGATCATACTTAACCTACTGGGAAAAGCTTGCTGACCATGGCTACCAAGAGAGACAGTGGGCTGCTTGCTAAGAAAGTGAGGCCACCTCCTCTAAAGATGGACAATTGTTATCCATCTTAACAATAGGTTTGTTGTTCTTAAATAAAGACCTCAAGCATTGGCTAGATCTTTTTTTTTTTTTTTTGGATTTGCAAATACAGTTTATTTTACAGAAATTCAACATTATAAACAGCAGGCACCTCCCATTCCACCCGCCCCCCTCCTCCCACCCATCCCACCGGGTGCAGACCATGCTATGCAGAGAGTGAGCAGCAATGTGGCCCTACTGCTTTGGAGACTGGAGAGCAATGGGACCTGCCTGCACCACGTCCTGCCTGCCCCGCACACACACGCGCCTGCCCACTGCGCAGGCCATCAGAGTCTGTCTGGGCCCAGCCCGCACTGGCCGGGTTACATGGATCCAGCCCAGTTCTCTAATTCCTTCATGTCGTCGTCCTCCTCCTCCTTCTTCTTGGCGGGTTTTGATGGTAGGGCTATAGAGGGAACATTTGGTAGAGGGACTGTTTCGGGTCCACTGATTTCCAGCAGATTCTTGTCTAGTTCCTCCTGTTCTAGTTCTTCTAATTCTGCCATGAGTTCATCCTCGTCAAACTCTTCTCCAAACCCTACAGGTTTTGAAATTGCTGTTGAAATCTCCTCTGCAAGTTCCTGCTGGTCAGCAATGTCCTGCATTAACTCATCAACTTTATCGATGTCCATGTTGTGGTGGGCAGCCTTCATGGCCTTGGCCGCATAGCCCATGTTCTTGAGCACCTCATGTTGGTGTTGGCGTTCTCCAGGGCCTCCTGCTGGAACTCGATGGTTGATAACGTGCCATCAATCTGTGCCAGCTGCTTCTCATACCTCTTCGTGCGCTTCAGTGCCTGGAGGGCCGCGTGCTTGTTTTTGGTGCCATGCTTCTTAGCGGCCATCAGTTCCTGCTCGATCTTCTTCTCCAGGAACTCCTGCTTCTTGCTTAACATCTCCTCCGTGTCCCGGAGCGGCTGGATGGCCTCCTGGGGGGTTGGGCCGCCCTTGCTGGCCTTACCCCCTCCAGCCCCTAACAGCTTCCCGAACACCGACATGATTGCTGCTCGCCAAGCCGGCCTTCGCCACCCGCTCCGGCTCGGCTTGGCTCCGCTCAGCTCCAGCGCCCGCTCCCAGCCCGGCCGCTCCCCGCAACCGCAGGCCTCTATTTTTTTTTTTTCAGAGCACCAGATATTTATTTATTTATTCTCTCAAATTCAGCTTAAAGAAGAATCACCTAGGGTGCTTTTTGAAAATTCAGATTCCCAGTCCCAAATCCAGTGAACCTGACATACTAGGTCTCGGGAGCCATGAATCTGCATTTTCCACAAGCACCCGGGTCAGTCTGATATAAATCGTCAATGGACCACACATTAGAAAACACTGGAGCAGATGGTTAGATGACCAGACCTTAGAACTCTTCTGTCCCTGGCCCTCAGCTAGGACCGGATCAAATCGGAAAGCCCTTCTTGCTAGGAGATGTTTGCAGTGAGACCACCACGGTGTCCCCATATCTACCCATTTGACCTCCGGCGTCTGCCTTTCCCACTCCTCGAGCCCAGTGCCAGGCCCGCTTCTCATCCGGGACGCTGAAGGCTTCATCCAGAGGGCTCAGCATGGAGTAAACACGCAGTCTCAGAAAGCACAGTGAGGGTTGCACCAAATCTGCCTTGCAGTCTGCCACCCGCACCACCTAAAGCCCCAGGAATCAGTTCTAGGAAAGACAGAGACTCTAGCCTGCCCCAGGCTGCTGGAGAACAGAAGAACAGCCTGGGACGAAGGGAAGGAAAGGCTCTCTGCAGGCCTCCACCACCCCATGTGCTTTGGGGCTCTCCACAAACCCTGGAAGTGAGGATTGGAAATGTTTTAAGGGCTACAATGACTAGTGGCAATATTATCATTCAGTGGGTGGAACTGGGGGTGTTAAACACCCTGTAATATGAGGGCATCACAGCCCAAAATGCCAAAATTGCCTCCCCCCACCATGCACAACACTATCAACTGTGCCATCAGTGTCCATGTGAGCCGCAGCCCTAGACATTGTCTCCTGCTAACCATGTTGACTTCTGCTCCACAGCAATAAGATCCAGGCGATACTACAAAAACAGGCAAAGACCCCAGCAGAAATTTAGCCAAAGTGCATGCCCTTCAGCAAGGTTCCAGGCCATCCCCTGGCTAATCCAGCCCCCAACACCTAAGAAATCCTCTCCTGCTGAGAGAGAGATTTTCTACCAGGGTCTGAGCTCCTAATAAGGAATTGGCCTCAGAGCGAGCGACACAGGCTGCTTGTTTCCAAGCTATCTCTGGAGGGCTTGTGCACAAAAAGGCTTTTTCTCACCTCAAGGTGCTCTTGGCTGGTTCGACAGGAGTGCTATGCACAGCAGGACCATGTCCTCAAATGGTCGAGGCCATTTGCTTTGTCAACTGACAAATGTCATTTATCATTTGAGACAGAGATTGGATATTGGGGCCTCTGGCTGGTGAAAGCTGTTGAATATTTTTTTTCAGGATGGCTTAGCAGAAACTTGGCAAACTGACATGTTTTCTTGAGCTGTGGATTTAAAGATACAGTCTTTCTTTATAGCCAGACTTTACCAGATGGCTTAACCCTATGATTCAGTTTAGCATCATGTAGCACTTAACTCGTGCCCTGTCTGTTCAGGAGCTTTGCCAGTGTTTGTCTCACCTCCCTTGGTGCTAAAACTCCTAGGGGATGGAAGCCAAGTCTCTTCCTTCCCCCATAACCCCCACAAGCATCTAGGATGGTGCTAGACTCATACCATACCCAATGCAAATGTGTCCACTAATTGATTCTCGACTAGCCATTTCTAGACACATCTTTATCGTGTCCTCATCTGTCTTACTCACTGTGTTCCAGCCACAGAAATTGCCCTCCCTCTCCACTTCCACTCCTTCCCTTGTACTACAGGACATAATCTAAGACCTCCCTCAGGACACCTTTCCTTGAGTCAGTCCTAATCTTTTTTTTACTTTGTATTTCCCTGTGTTTAAATACAGGAACAGCTTAGAAAGATGCATTTTCTTATGTGCTGTGTGTGTGTTGTCTTTTCAACGAGCCTACTGGTATTCTCAGAGTGGACATCATATTTTCTGCTGCCTTTTGATCCCCAATTGAAATTTATCCCATGCTAGGCTAATAATGAATGCACATCAATGAACGAAAGAACAAAAGAAGGGACAAATGAATGAATGCTTAGTTTTCATAAGTGTACTCTTGAATGAAACTGTACTTTATAGTCTAAAAAGCATTTTGCAGGGCTGGGTGTGGTGGCCATGCCTGTAATCCTAGCGCTTTGGGAGGGCAGGGTGGGAATATTGCTTGATGTCAGGATTTTAAGACCAGCCTGAGCAAGAGCAAGACCCTGTCTCTACTAAAAAATAGAAAGAAATTATCTGGACAGCTAAAAATATATAGAAAAAATTAGCCAGGCATGGTGCCACATGCCTATAGTCCCAGCTACTCAGGAGGCTGAGGCAGAAGGATCGCTTGAGCAGGAGTTTGAGGTTGCTGTGAGCTAGGCTGACACCACGGCACTCTAGCCTGGGAAATAGAGTGAGACTCTGTCTGGGGGGAAAAAAAGGCCTTGTCTTTACAAAAAGTAGGAAAATTAGCCGAACATGATGGAACACACCTGTAGTCCCCACTACTTGGTAGGCTGAAGCAGGAGGATCACTTGAGCCCAAGAGTTTGAGGTTGCAGAGAGCTATGATGATGCCACTGCACTCTAGCCTGGGTAACAGAGTGAGATCCTGTTGCAAAAAAAAAAAAAAAGGCATTTTGCAATGTTTAAGTCTTTTCATGTGTTTATATATATGAGAAAATACACAGAAAGACTGTATCTTCCCCAAGATCACATACCTAACAACCAGTACAGCCAGGACTCAAACAGGTGTTCCAATTCTAACTCCAATAATCTTCATGCAAAAATAGATTATTTTAGTGATCCATGTTAATCTCAAAAGGGTCTGATTTTGTTATTTTCTTATTACTAACTAAATTCATGAGCATCAAAAAAACAACTTTTACTTCTTTGCGGATTGTGTTTAGTTATTAATAATGCTCAGAGCAACTAATTTAGAATTTATTATTTTGAAGCGTGAACAACAACTGCATATATTTCATTATTTGGGATAGTGAGTTATGGACTTTCTTAATTAGTATTTTAAGATTTGTTTACAACTTTTACAGTAACAAACTTTCAATGCTGACTCTTCCCTGGGGCTTTTTGAGTCTTTGCATGTTATGGTTACTCTACTTGTCTCTAAGGATTTTAAAGCTTTCTATACTTCAGTTCATTTATGTAATCTTCCTGGGACAAGAACACAATACATCAATAAGAGCTACCATTTATGGAGCACTTACTGAGTGCCAAGTATTGTGCGAACTAGTTCATTATCTCATTTAACTTGCATTTTCACACAAACCTGTGAGGTTGGTACTGTTAATATCCCCTTTAAAGAAGAGAAACCCACAGCATACCTTGTATATATGTAAAGATAAGTATTTAATTCTCACTGTTCACTTTTAACTGACAAAGAAAAAAAAAGTGGAAACTACAGAAACTGTGGTAGAACTTTTACTCGCTGGTCTGGTCCTGGTTGTACCCACCTTTGGCCAGTCATGTATCTATTCAAACCCTCCCAATAGAGTACAACAGGATGGACTCTGAAATCACTTTCAATATCCCTTACTAGATATTGACTGTTATATCAAGTATTAAGTGTAAAGCTTTTAATTGACAATTAGTATAACTGTGGATGGCTTCTGATTTTGTTTTTAATTCTGTGGATTGTGTTTAAACAATTCAAAAGTATGTTCCTGATTTTGAGATACTAAGTGGTATTGCACAGTTGTCACTTTATTGAATGTGTACAACAGCCCCATGAAGTTTATAAAACATACCCTTGTATAGCTTCAGGTGCTAGAATTAAAATTGATCTGTTATCACAAAAAAAAAAAAAAAAAAAAAAGAAGAGAAACCCACCTCTCCAAACTCTTCAGTTACCTAAAGCATAAATGCAGAACTGGGGCTTAAAGCAAGCGTTATTTGACTCCAAAGCCCTAATTAGTAGCCACTGTATCCTAATGGCTCTAACTGGAAGCCAGGGCACCTGGATTCTACATGAGCCTTTGCCACTGTGTGACCTCAGGGAGGATGGCAGTCACAGAAGGGGTGACATTGGAGCTTGAAGGTGAGTAGGCATTTGTAGCAGAGCAAAAAGCACCCCAGGCAGAGGGCAGAGTATCTTCAAAGGCTTGGAGAGGCATGAAAAATTGAAAGCACTAAGGTTGACAACACCACTGAAGCTCTACAAAAGTGTACCCTTAGGTGATAACAAGAGATCAGTAACATTCCCAGTGGGCTTCCTCCAAATGTGTTTTGGATACAGTTGGAAGGTATGGAGGAACCAAGGAGACATGGAAAACCCTCAATAGTAACCAGATCTGACAATGTTCTGGGGCAGCCTAATAGCACCAGGCTTCAGATGTCCTAGAAACAGAATAGTGACCTGCTGGCTTGGGCTCCCTAAGGCAAAGGCCATGTCAGAAAATCAGCTCTAACTCAATGTCTTACCTTCTTCTGCTAATGGGATCCTTCTTCCTTTGGAGAAATCCCTCTCCTCTGGTGTATTTCTATAGAGCTGCCAGTCACAGCCCCTCTCCAGGGAATCTGAACCTTGAGCTTTGACAAGCAGGGGAGCCAACTGATTACAGCTGTCACCCAGCAATTGTTCTCCAGAGAGTTCTTCCACCTGCAGCAGTGCCAAGACCTACCCTGGTTTGTACCCTATCTGAAGCCTAGTTGTTCCATTACTATTCTTTGCAAGCCACTCTGAAGCCATCCAATAATGCATTCTTGCTTAAGTTAGTTGAAGTTTGTTGACTGAAGTCAAATAATTCTAATATTTCTTGATAGATGACATGTGGGCCTGATAAAAAATGTCCTGTATGGTTTGCTGCTGGTCTAGCCCAAGACAGCCACTGTCTGGAAGTGGTGCAGATACAGTGGGCAGTGATCTAATCTGTACAGTGTAG